TCCCACTCTTGCCATATTCTTCCTCTGTTCTTACTCATCTTCATAAATATTTATTTCCTCCTAGTATGTTTTTGGTGTTTGAGATGTCTCATTATACACTTTCTCATATTACCCTATTAAAACTGATAGCTTTGGGCTAACTATCTATATAATGATTGCTCACACATCTTTATTTCCTACCCAGATCTCTTTCAAGAGCTAGAGAGCTATGCATTTAACTTCTTACACAGTTTTATGTGATAACCTCGCAGGCAAATCAGACTTCAAAAGTGAAATCTCTTTTTCCTCCCCAAATTTTCCCCTATATTTCTAAATCCTGTCTCAGTGAACTGCACTCCCTACAGATCTCTCTCAAGAGCTAGAGAGCTATGCATTTAACTTACACAGTTTTATGTGATAACCTCGCAGGCAAATCAGACTTCAAAAGTGAAATCTCTTTTTCCTCCCCAAATTTTCCCCTATATTTCTAAATCCTGTCTCAGTGAACTGCACTCCCTACCTCATTGGTCATAATAGATACCTGTGGCAAATCCTGAATTTCTTCCTTTTACCTATGTCCTGCCTTTCTTCTCCTTACCACATCTCCTCACAGACAACACAGGTAGTATCAAGTGTTTCAGATTCTACATCTGTAGTTATTCTCAGTAACCTCACCTTTTTCTATAGTCCAGTCTACTAAGCCCAGTTCAACCACTGTAATAATCTCTTAACTGGTCAACTTGTCTCTTGATGCCTCTAATCTATCTCCTACATTTCTCACAATAGAATGTGAGTGTTAATTGTTTTTGTTTATTTGTTTGTTTTCACTTTTTCTTAAGGTGAAAGTACAAAATTCTTTGATTAGCACAACAGGCCCTTGATATTCTGTCCAGAACTTATTTCTCTCATCTTATCACCTCCAATTTCTCTCGTCTTTACAAACTTTACAAATTACCCATGGGCTCCAATTATACAAAGCTACTTGAAGAGTCTTAATATTCATGCTCTTTCAAACTTCTATTTCTTTACATATGGTGTTCTCTCTGCATGAAACACCCGTTAGCACTTATTAGCTCGTTCTTTTTGCCTTTCAAAACCCAGCTTAAACAAAACTTTTCCTGTAAGTTATTTTTGGACACCCAGATTTATTATCTGTCCTCTATATCACCATAATGCTTATCATACAGCATTCTAATTGTTGGTTTACTGATCTGCATCTTCCAATAGGTGGTAAATAACCTTAGAGCTTATGTTTTATTTAACTTTGTGTCTCTAGCACCTTTCATAATGGGAGACAAATGTAATATTTAATGATGTTGGGCCAGCAGGTGGCATGGTGGTTAAGGGCACTGGACTCCCACATGGCCATCAGTGGTACAAGTCCTGGACCTAGTGGCTTGCTTTCTCACTTTCCCTCTCTGTTTCTCACTCTTGCTCTCACTCTGTCCCTCTCCAGTCAAATTAAAATAAATAAATAAATAAAGCTAAATAAAATCATTCTTTACAAAAAATATTTAATGGATGTTAATGGATGTTATTGAATGGCGTATAAAGGTAATTATGTCACTCAATGGAACTAAGTAAAAAACGCTTACTAGCAAGTTTCCAAGTTCCAAATTATGTCTCCATACTTGCAATAAAGAACCTTCTTACTCCCCAATAATTTGATGTATTTGTCTAAGAAAATATAGGTTTAAAGTTGGTTATTGTTTTTGTTCACACTTCCATTTTTGTCTTTAGGCATGGGAAAAAAGGGAATTATGCAGTATGGTGATGTTTTTTTCTGGGGGTCAGGTTTTTGCTGTAGTACATGTGCACTCACTAGAAAGACAGAGAGAGAAAGACAGAAAGCAACAAATCACCCCTCAAGGGGGATGGCCATGCTGCATGCAATCCCTTCTCCTCTATTCTCCTATTGGAATTTTGGGCACATGCACACACGTGTCTGGCATGTTTTAAGCTGCCAGGTCCAAGATTCGAACCACGGTTGACTATATGTAAGTCCAGCGATGTAACTATATGCCATCTGCTGGTCCCCATAGTTAGGTTTTTAAAGATTTTTCTACAAAGTGGAAAATTTAAAACATGCGCATGAAAAATATTCAAATAAGATACATAATTTGCCATAAAACCCAATTTATTGTTATCTTTATTTCCAAAACTACAAGTCAAAAAATCCCTCCCTTTTCCTGAAATTTAATCAAAATTTCTAAGATTTTATAAATTCTATCTCCTAAATATGTCTTCAATGTTCCATATTGCTTTCTTATCTGACTGTTGTCTTTTTAAGTTATTTATTTCTTCCATGAGAGAGAGACAGAGTAAGAGTGTGTGAGAAAAAGAGAAAGACAAAACACCCCTAACAGAATGCCAGTGTTGTGAGTCACCGCAGCGAGCCTGGATCAGAAGCATGTAGGTGCCCGGTAAGGTCCAAGGATGTGACCTCTAGACCCCTTCATGTGGGTTCAGCCTTGCAGAGCATTTTCTTACTGCCGTGCTAATGTCCTGGCCCCATCCACATATTTTTCTTGTCACTCTCATTTCCATTCTCTCCTTATACCCAGCCCTCTGCTCCAGGTATACATCTATACAATTGTCTGTTGGTGGTATTTTTCTTTACCAGATACATCCTTGATTATCCCTTAAGTTACATCATAAAATGTAAAACACGGGATTAACATAAAAGCTCTGCCTTTAGATCACAACCTACTATTTTAGTCTCATTTCTACCATTCTTTTAATTCTAATTATGCACAATGTCAAGAAATCTGTTAATAGCCTTTTTAATAAATCCTTATTCCTTCAAGCCTCTTCTCTACTTGGAATATATATCCTCCTGTGTCCTCTCTGATTCACACATTTTTTTACTCAGCTCTCACGCTCTGATCAAACACTGATGTATACAAAAAAGCATATCTTTATCAGACCTTTTCCTAATTTTATTTTTAAAAGCATATATTTCTTACCAGATTAAAATAAAAGCAGAAAAATCATTTTGCATTCATGTATTTTTACATTCCCAGAATGTTCCATATAACTTGTCACATAGTAAGCCGTTTGTAATGTTTTCAGAGTGCAGTAAAAATATGTCACCTGGCCCAGCTGTGGTGGCACAGGCAGCAGAGGTGTTGCTGTATGATGAGGGGGAAACTATATGGGAAGGCTCTAGGTTTGCACTCCAGGGCTACCATAGCCTGCTGGCATGCCTGTGATCCTGGCTGGCTGTAGGGTGGGGGAGGATCCTGGCATGAAAATAGGTCAAGGGTGTTTCTCTTTCTCACATTAAGGAAAGAATTAAATAAACTTTTTTTTTTTTTAATGAATGACCCCTTACATCCTTTACTTTAGACACTCCCTCACTGGAAAAGCCAAGATGGCTGAAGAATCTGCTTTAGAAAAGAGAGGCTATAAAATAGAACTATGTCAAATGTGGGGAAAAAAAGTCATTAATTTCATGGAGCTAATGGTAATCTTCACACCTACAACTAAAACAAAAGAAGATGAAGGGGAAAAAAACAGACAAGAGTTATTAACATGAAAGAAAAAACAAAGGAAGGAGTTGAATACTAATTTCATTGTAGCTCTGTTTAAAAAGGGGATACACACCAAGCTATACATATGAGACAATGTTAATAATGTACTCTGGTAGTATTTTACCTGTTTCCCCCTTCTTTGTCTTTATCAACTCCTACCTCTTACACTTAATTTCTCTTAAGCTAGTAGCAGAAGATAAAGTAGATCAAGGATGATTTCGGATTATTATTACAACAAACAAAGAACAAGTACAGTATGAAACAGCATTAATACAAACTTCTGTAGTTAAAATCCAATATATTAAAGAGCATTTGAGTCTATAAATGATAGGAAATCCTACCCTCATGCACAACTAACTACTGCTCAGCTTTGCTTCCTGCTCTCTGAAGTACCCCGGTCTTTTCCCACTTTTCCCAACTTAGTTGTAGTTTCAGTGCCAGCTGTAATGGACTTAGGCCTGTTGAGGGCTAAGTGCTCTGGGAAATGGGGAATAATACTGAGGCCCAAGGTGTTTAGAAGCCTTGTATTTTCTTCCTCCAAATTATACTTGTTTAAATTTTGTGTTAGTATTATGTTCTATCAAAAGTGCAACTGCCAACAGATCATTAAATAGTGATTATAATGATGTATTTATACCTTACTATCCCTATCACTTTAATATAAAGTCTTTTAGGAGACTCTCTATTTCTTATTCAGGTATAAATGTGATGTAGAGTTCAAGAAATAATTGTGAAAGGAAAAATGAGTTAATTAATAGAATTTGCACATGTAGAATCCGACCAAATGCCAGATGGCAATGGAAACATTATACGGAACAACTAGTAGTGATGTCACAGCATGTCCCCGGGATCCTCTGGCATGCCTACAGACTTCCATCACTTCCCTGGCTCAAGTCACCCTTAAAACTAACAATTTACGCAGAAACAATGTACTTGGTAGGCAAATAAATTTCTAAAACTAGAGTGACAACTTTATAGAGGGTAGAACAAAAACTGTTTATTGGAATTTAATGACCAAAAATGTGAAAGAACCAATTACTAGCTATTTATTATATACCTAATCGCATTTAATTCTCACACCAGGCCTACGAGCTACATCTTTAGACACCAGGTTTGTTGGGCTCCGAGGCTCACCATTTTATTACCTCTATGCTCTGGACTCCATGCAACCCTCCTAAGCCCAGGTAGTACAAGCTTGCGATATCAGATTTACTTACACTTGACACACAGACAGATTTTTAATGTTAGTTAGTCAAAACAGAAACATAAATGAATTTAATCATCATGACGAATTAAATTAAATCAGACTCTTTAGATTATAGAAACTATTCTTTGTACTAGAAAATGCATACATTATTTGAGATGACACTATTTTAAATTTTTAAAAATTCCTAAGTCAACAACAATCACTAGCTGTCCAATAAACCCAGTTCCACAATAGGTCATATATAAATAAAAAACAACCAACCAACAAATAATTCCTGAGCTGGCTCTATTCAAGTTGATAAATAGGTATTTACATTTTAAAAATAACATAGCAATCTTCAATTATATCATTTAATCTTAGTCAGATATTTCAAAAACATTTAAGAGGAAAAATAAACCGAAAAGTTAAGATTTTGTGTGTATTTGTATGAAAGTAAAATCAGTCATTTAAAAAATATAATTAGTAACACAACACAGATGACTCCAAATTCAAAGAATTGAAGTTAATTGCCTTATTTTGTAAGACCAATTTGCTAAAATTAACTTTTCAGGAATAGAAAATATTAATTGATAAACCTTAGAGACTGTCTTCCTACCTGCCATGCCACAGTGTATTATGGAGATCAGGATGTTATTCTTGAAGGATTTTATTTTTTTTGGGGGGGAGTGTCTAATTTTGGTCTAGACTATTTCCCAAACTTGTTGAAAGCAAAATCAGTAGTTTCCCAGCAAAATTACAAGATAGATTGGAGAAATTTTACATTCTATCACTTATCACTTACTTACGAAGGATGAAAATATACAAATAACCAATCCATTCTTTTAGGAAACCTGTAGATGTATGTAGAATCATCTAATGATTTCGTTAAACAAATGAAAGATAAAACACTATCTTCCTTTGGCATATTAGTTCAAATGCAGGTTATCAGCAATCATTTGGGAGTGTCTCAATAACTCAATAGAATTGTAATGGACCCCAAATCAGTTCAATTTATTTCAAGTGCTTAGGAAAAAAATCCCATACAATATTAATACAATCTTAAAATTGATTTAAACAGTAAGATTTTATCTTCACCCTGAAGGGTGGAGGGCACTAAGAGTACTTAACTCACTGAACACTATTAAACACAGTATGGGGGAAATGAAAATCTTGAGTGCTATTTCTACCCACCATGGTGACTCATGACCTGCCCAGCAGCCTCCATGCTGACATTCTGGAGATAGTTGTGGCAGCGTTCCTTGTGCTCCTCCAGTGAACTGCGTTGCTTGTAGCTCCGTCCACAGTAGTTGCACTTGTGAGGTTTACCCACTGTGAAGAGAACTCCAGGTTAGCGGGGCTCATCCACATCCAAAGTAAAGCCAACAGCCAACATACAACAGTCTCGAGGAAGCACTTCTGTGCTTTTCAGAGTCAAATCTCTTCCTTCTCCGCACTATAATTTAGACTAGAAAAGATGATACATTTCTACCTACACTAAAAGACAGCAAGAAGATAGCTAGATCACACCTCTGGTGAATCAAACTCATGCTCTGACTATATCCTAGACCATCAGGTGTTGATGATCAATCTTCAAATTATCTGATTCTTAACCAACATACGACAGTCTGGAGGAAGCACTTCTGTGCTTTTCAGATCAAATCTCTTCCTTCTCCGCACTACAATTTAGACTAGAAAAGATGATACATTTCTACCTACACTAAAAGACAGCAAGAAGATAGCTAGATCACACCTCTGGTGAATCAAACTCATGCTCTGACTATATCCTAGACCATCAGGTGTTGATGATCAATCTTCAAATTATCTGATTCTTAATACTTTTGCTCTTTACACAATAATCTCAGCTTTGACTCATCCAAAAGACAAAATCGAGAGTATCCTAGTAGCATCATGATATTTTTTTTTCTCTCTTTCTTTTTCGGTAAAGGCAGGAAATTTTACTGAAGAAAACTTTAATGCAACAACTTGAAATGTCATTGTTTAATAAAAAGAGATTATTCATCGGTACCAAGAAGATTCAAAAGAACTCAAGTAGTGAGAAAAAGCACAGATAAAAGTAGAGAGTTTCTTGTTTTCTTTCCACCTTGGTAATAACTATTCACACATGCAAAACTTTGTGGCCAATAAGTATGTTCTCTCTCACCGGCACTACTTTTACAATACCAAGAATTAACTTACTAGGTGCTTTGAGTCAGAATTATTAACAATAACTACTGAAGACCTAAATGTGTTAGGGTTTCAGTAATGTTTTCCAACACACCTCAGATTCCAGAAATGAATTACTCCCTAATAATCAGGATGCCATTATGTTAGTGTAGCTGTTAAAATACTTAAATTTTTTTTTGTTGGGGAAAAAAAAAAAACCTTCTTAAAAAATTTATTAAAAAATAACCTCTTAAGCCAATCTGTTGCAATAGTGGTTAAGGTGGCTGGATGTCACATAGCTGACTGCATGATCTGAGTCTCAGACTCAGTGGTTTGAAAAACACACTAGGAGTGTGTGCACGTGTACCCAAAATCCCAAAAGGAGGCAGAAATGGAGAAGGGGATTGTGATGTGACCATTCTCCATGGGGGTTGCTTTCTCACCACCACCCATCCTGTCTCTCTCCAGAGAGTGCACGTGCACTCTGGCAAACTGAAAATCAAAACAAAACAAAACTTCTGGAGCAGGTTCTATGGCACAGCAGTATTGCACCGCTGAAAAGAACCAATCTTGCGTGGAAACCATGGTTTGAATCCCTAATTCAGTCAGCCTGAAAAACGCCAGGTATATATATGTACCCAGGACCTAACAGGCTAGAGGATGAGAGGAAGAGTGTCCGGCATGATCAGACCCTGCCTAGGGGGCTCATCTTACTTACATCACTCCATCTCTCTCATGTACACACACTTGCTCTATTATGAATAAAGAAAAAAATAGCTGGTATTATATTCAATAGAGATTTTACTTCTTTATTGACTAGAGGTATATTTTAATGTTTGACTATTCATTAAGCTATCACAGAGTACTTTGATTCTTGGTTTTGTACAGATATAGAATATAAAACACCAAGTGATCTAGGCCAAAGCCCTCAGCAGTAAAGCAAAGTGTTAAGTCAGGCCAACAACTCATTTGACTCCCACAGAAATCATGAGTTTTGTCCAAAGAACAACAAAAAGACAACTCTTGTTTACAACCACAGACATTATTCATAAGTCCATATGCCTTATGAATCCATACTATGACACTGATCACAAGAGGAAGTGAAATACCATAATAAGGAAAGGTAGCCATAGAGGCCTAAATCCAAACCAAATCTTTACACTGTATTTAAAGTACATATAAACTAAAACTAGTTATTTCATAATCATACTTTTTGTAAACCATGCATAAATAACAACTATTTAAGGTCTGATTACTCATTTTTTAAGATGAAGGCAAATGAACTTCCATTTGTCAGAACCCAAAATTCTGAGAATAGCTGTGCATAGTGTGTAGAATTCATATCACTATGTGAGAGCATAAAAAATACAAGTATTGGTCAAAAACATTTACTGTGATATAAATATATTTACATGTAATTGTATTCCATGACGTGAAGCTACATAATAAAAAGCCCTTGTCTGCTGTTACCATTACTAAATTATGGGTAATTTCATACTATTTCTCTGGAAATATTGATGAATTTGTCCTGAACAAGTCTATTAACCAATTAATACTAGTAAGCACTTGCATTGTATCAATAACTGAGATAAATCAGTCATCTTCCGGGCTTTGCTAGTACTAGTCCTCTCGCACTGTGTCTCAGGATGCTTGTTTTACTGTGAATATATTTGCCCGTGCTTCTAATTCAGAAGGTATTTTTAATAGCTTCGTGATAATTGAAACATGGTTCCATTCCACTCCCTTGGCTCACAATTCCATATAAAGTTCCAATATTTGATAAGAAGGAGAAGACGGTATACTTTTTTTTTATTAACATTTTCCTTTTTTAAAAAATGATAATTTCTGGTTTACATATATTCCATGTACATCTTTCCAGGGTACATTATGGCTTTTAGCATATAATAATCAAATCAAGGATATGTAACTTATTCATCTTCTTCAACATTGAACATTACATTATGCTGTGCACATTTCATAACAGTTCTACTAGTTTTTTTTAAGTTGTATTAAATTGTTCCTATTTTTTCTCTACTTTATACAGCTTTCCACTCAAGCTTTTAAGATTCTCATTTCTGAAGTCCATCCCATCTGCTTTACTTCAGTTTTTCCCATTTTGTGATCCATTTATTTTATAATATCACCCCTATCTCTTTATCCGGTAACTTGTTCTCAGGAAGTCCAGTGAGAATTTGAGTAATTATTTTAAAAGTATAACCTCAATTTTCCTGACTCTACCTCTCCATTCTACTCCAGCAACCCACATACTGGTTGACATGTTACATTTTGACATTTCTTTGAACTATTCTATTTCCAAGAAATTTGCTCTGGGAACACTTTACCTTATCCCCACTTCTCTCTTTCATTCACTATTTTTTATAAAATACTACTGTGCACCAACACTAATGAAGCTAAAATGCAGTGGAAACCAAATTTTTAGGGGGCCTATCCTGATGTAGCTGCTGGTCTAATGAGGATGACGAATATTTAATAAGCACCTAAGAGATATCTTACAAATTGTGTTGTATTTGTTTTTTGTTTCAGTCATAGAGTGTGTGCACTCGCCAGAGAGGGACACAGAGAGAGACAGTGAGGGAAGTGAGAAATCACACCCCAGGAGGGATGCCACAATCCCTCCTCTTCCATTCTCCTCCTGGGATTTTGGACACATGTGTACACGTCTGGTGTGATTTTCAAGCCACCATGATTGTGACTGGAACCGTAGTTGGCCAGTGTGAGTCTAGCACACTAACCACCACACCACCTGCTGGTTCCTGTGGTGGGTTTTTATGGAGCAAAAGAATGGTGTGGTAGTATAACATGGAGAATTTGGTTTGAGACGTTTGGACAGGAGTATTACCTGAGATAAGAACATTTAGAGTTATAAGTGGAGGAAAAATAGGAGCCGATCAGATAATGGGGGTGGTAGGATGGAGAAGAAGCAGGATTTCAGAAGTTCTGAGAACTGCTGTCACCTATTTTCAATTACTTACTTAGCTCCTTCAACATCTACATTCTCCCCTTACTACTTTTTAAAAATTTATTTCCAAACATCACCAACAATCTCTGCCAAATGTAATGGCTCTACTCTCTCCACCATTTCCTATCAGTTCCTTGACATTATTTCTTAAAAATCAAGTTCATTAAAACTGTATGCTCATTCCCTACATGTAAGTTTATTTATATGTTATAAATTTATATGTAACCCATAAATAAATATGTATAAATTATGAACACAAATATATAGCATACATATTCAAAGAAGGTCAATTGTTTTGTTAGTTCTATTTTATAATAGTTATTACACATTCCCACTAAATGAGAAATATTCATTTTTTTTAAGAGGTTTTTGCCTTAGGGTGCATGCACTGACCAGGAAGAAAGAGGAAAAGAGAAACAGTGAGAAGGAAAGTGAGAAATCACCCCCCAGATGGGATGACCCTGATGCAAGCCCTTCTCTTCCATTTTCCTCCTGAAATTTTGGGCACACATGCATATGCACCGGCATGATTTTCATGCCCCCAGGTCTGGAACTTGAATACTGGTCAGCCATGTAGGAGTCCAGAGACATTACTATGCTGTCTGTTGGCCCCAGTATCTTCCCTCTTCTTGTAAAAAAAAAAAAAATTATGTAGTTTTAAAAATTATTTATTTATTCATTCATTCATTAATTTCAATTTAACCAGAGAGAAACACACAGAGAGAGAGAGAGACAGAGGGAAAGTGAGAAAGTAAGCCATCAAGTCTGGGACTTGAACTGTGGTCAGCCATGTGGGAATGTCCAGTGCCTTAACCACCATGCCACCTGCTGTCTGCCCCCCCCCAGTATCTTCATTCTTAACATTAATAAAATATTTTTGAAAAGTCAATAACCTCTGTATTATTAGATTTAGTAGATTTTTATCAACCCTAAATTTTCCCAGTCTCTTGGTCACTTACAAATTCTCTTGTATCTTTTTTTTTTTGGAGAGGTTTTCGCTGTAGGGCGCATACGCTCGCCAGCCAGCCAGAGAGAGACAGAGAGACAGAAAGCGAGAAATCAACCCCCAGGGGGGATAGCCACGCCGCAATCCCTTCTCCCATCTCCTCTCGGGATCTTGGGCACGCACGCACACGCGCCCGGCGTGAGTTTTAAGCCACCGTGTCTGGGACACAAACCACAGTCG